CCCGTATTGTCCAGGTTTTACCTCAGTGAAGTCAATTTCCCAGCGTTTGCCAGGGTTGGTTCCTTGCATTCTGGTTCCAATTGGCAGCCTTGATTTTGGCCCTGGATTTACTTGTGAACAAATTTCATATCTGGTAACAATGACTTTTGTTATTTTGTCAAGATCTTGGATGTAATAATATTTTTAAAAGTTCAGTTAATTTTGTGGATCCAAGGTGTGTTCCTTGATGTATCTGTTTAATCAGCAATCTGCCTAGAGCCTTTGGCAAATAAATCCTGTGATCTGGCAGAATTTTCAAATTCATGACATTGTTGGAGGCTTTTAAGATCTTAGCATGTTGTACTATTTTTTTAGTATAATGGGGAGTCAGCAGCAATTGAGGTGCCGGAACGACTATTAAAGAGTCAAATGGCCCCATTGGTTTTAATGTGGCCTCTTTGGCAGTCAAATCTGTAGAAGCGTTGCCTTGGGTCTCAAACAAGGTGTCTTTTTGGTGCCCTGGACTATGTATGATGGCCACTTTTTATGGATACTATATGGCCTTAAGGAGGGCTAGTATTTTTGCTTTATTATTTATTTATTTATTTTCTGATGTTAATAGTCCTCTCTGTTTGTATAAGGCCCCATGAACATGGGCACTGGCAAAAACATATCTGTTGTCAGTATGTATGTTAACAGTTTTATCTTTTCCATGCTTTAATGCCTGTGTTAGGGCTATGAGTTCAGCCTTTTGAGCAGATGTCCTTTGGCTTAAGACTTGAGCCCAAATGACCCAATCTAAAGTTACTATGGCTGTCCCGGCATACCTGATTCCATTGGAGATGAAACTGCTTCCATCAGTGAACAGCATTTCATTAGGCTCTGTCCAGGGCACATCAGTCAGGTCTGGCCAGAGGCCTTGGAGAGTCTCGATTGTTTTGAGGCAGTCATGGACAGGCTCGGTTGGGTCGTCATCCAGGAGGAGGGTAGCCAGATTTAGAGCTGTGGTTTTTAGGGGCTGATCTAGAAGTAAATTCTGATACTGGGTGAAGCAGGAGTTGGTGAGCCCATGTTCAGGTGCACTTTGTAAGAGAGTCTGTACAGAGTGGGGGGCCACTAAACATATGTCTTGTTGGTCTCTTTTACCAGTAAAGCAGTTGCCGTTATGGCTTGGAGACAGGTTGGCCATCCTGTGGCTACACTATTCAACCTTTTGGAGAGGTAGGTGATAGGCCTCTTCCATGGTCCCAGGGCCTGGGTGAGCATCCCCTTGGCAATGCCTCGCATCTCGGCAACAAACAGGCTGAAGAGCTTCATCAAATAAGGTGGGGAATTTTTAAATCCATGGGGGAGGTAAGTGCAAGTTAATTGTCCAGAGTATCCTCCCCCAGGGTCAGTCCATTCAAAGGCAAAGAGAGGTTGGCTTACTTCGGCCAGCAGGAGGCTGAAGAAGGCATCTTTAACATCTAGCTTTTTGGTTTGTTTCTCTTTTGGACTGTCTCTGTCATCAAAGACCCTCTGGGCAATTTCAACCAGCTCAGATAACAATTTTCCTTTGAATCCTTCCTGTCTTCAAAGCTTTCTCCTAATGTCTGGGGCTGACAGGGTGACAAAGGCAATATTTATTGCCTGCTGGTTTTCTGGGGTCTCAGGGTCCACAGGAGTGTAGGTCCTGTAAGCCTCCATAAGGCATTCCAGGAAAGCAGTGGAGGTTTCGTTTGTTCCCTGAATAGTTTCACTTACTTTTGATAGGTTAGTGGGCTTCTGGGCTGCTGTGCGGAGTCTCCTAAGGAGAGTAGTGATACAGGTCAAGAGCCCCCTTACCTTGGTCCATGTTTGGGTCCCATCCAGGTCTGTTAGAGGGGAATGTGCATTCGAGGTAAACAGGGTCATCAGAGGGTCAGCCATCATAACCAGTAACAGTTTTCAGGGCCTCCCTCTGGATCCACTTGCATTCTTCTGACGTGAAGAGAGTCTGCAGGAGCTGCTGACAATCATCCCATGTAGGCTGGTGGGTAAAGAAATAGTCTCCAGGAGGGAGATGAGGCCCTGAGGTTTTTCTGAGAAAGAAGGATTTTGATTTTTCCAGTTGTAAACCATCAAGGGAGCCTGGTCTTGAGGAGTTCCAGGAGGCAAGGGAGCCTGTTGGAGTGAGTGGGGGGGTGGGTGGAGGAACGGCAGGGAGAGGACTGATATGCAGTGCTGTTCCGAGTATGGGAAACAGGCAAAGAAAGTCCAGAAATAAACCCATAGTTCTGGTCAATTGGTTTTTAATAAAGTTGCCAGAGCAGTTCTTTAGGAAAAAGCTATGTGTATGCCCTGAAAACTATTTACACTACTATTTAAATATTTTATATCTACCTAAATGTTGACTCTGACAACTGTTACACTGTGGAGTTAATAAGGCTGTATATTATTTTTTTAAAGTAATGAACAGAGTATGCTTTCTTAGCTGCCCAATTCACATTTTTTCTGAGGTGTTTTGTCAGTTAATGCTTTTAACCAACTTAAAAGTAACGTTTTCCCCATTTTCTCCATGAGTGGAAAGAATGCAAAGAAACCTGCATTTAACAATAAGGTCAGCATGACGTAAACTAACAAAAGCCAATAAGTCAAAAATGAGGTTGACATTCTGGGACTAATCTAGCAGTCCTACAACAGTTTTTCAAATTCTTTTCCTTGGTTACCCTATATTCAGAGATTAAATCGTTGCTGTTATGAACTACTGCTGTTTAACTTATCATCAACCTTCCCCAGATTTTTAAATCTTCTCCAGTGAAGGGAGAATAAATTATTAAAGGAAATACTCTTAGCTTATTTTCAATTTTTGAAGCTACCTTGGGTCTTCAGAGGCATCAGAGAGTATGGGAGGCGCTGTGGGGGAGGCGCTCTTCTTTGGCAAAGCTGGAAGAGAAGGCTTAGTTAAAAGCACAGATGGTGTTCTATTTCCATTCACCTTGGGACATTTTTTTATGGCACCTTTTTAGTCATGATGGCTTGTCAGAGATTATATCAATCCAAACCTGTATGTAAGGGGGTTGTCCCATAGACATGTTTGGAGGAATTTTGTCCCATTTGTTATATAAGACCACAGGTAATGACACACAAAAACACAACTGGCAACACACAAAAGACAGACAAGTGGCCACGTCCAAAATTACTCTAAGATATCCACAGACACAACAATCACAACGACAAAGATGAACAAGAAACGTGGAAACACAGTTCCTATTGACTTGCAAGTCCCAAATCCAAATCCAAATTACCAAAGGGCCCAGCAACATCTCAGGAGCCCAAGGACTAGGGGAGTTAATGCTGCGTCCTGCATCCCACTAAGTCCAACCATTGGTGCACTGTCCCTTACTGAGATCTCACCTACCTGGGGAGAGAGAAAAGTGCCCCATCTACCTCCAGGGAGAAGAAGAGGAACAGCTTCTCTATCTTCTAGGAGATAAGTGCAGGGAGGGATATACTCACGGGGAAAGAATCTTGCTGGGGCCTCCAAAATGTTGTGAGGCACCCTCCTTCAAGAAATGCACTTACACGCCACTCGTGCAGACAAGGGCAGTTTATTCACTCCAGCTGGCCAGCAACCATCTCCCGAGGAGCAACCAAGGAAGAGTGGTCTTGGGCCTTGGTCTTGTGGGGTTTTTAAAGAGAAAAACTACATCCTGTTGGCACACGGGTTTGTCCAGGTGCACAAAGCAAGCTAGGGAGCTAGGTCACAGGAGCCCAGAATGAGCCATTAGAGCAATCAAGCATACAACTTTTCATTATGTATGTTCCCATGTAATAGTTCACTGTGTATGATTCCTGTTCCCATGTAATAGTTTACTGTGTATGGCTCCTGTTTCTATGCAACGGCTTTTGTTTCTATGAGAAGGTCAATGGTTTCTCATGCAGAAGTGTGTGTGGGGGGGTGTAGTCTGCAGGTCAGACAAGGGGTAAAATGGAGTTACTTAGGATAAGCAAGCAATTGTACAGAAGCAGATAGCGTACGTTATGAGGGTGTAGGGAGCTCTATTTCAAACAGAACTTCCAGAGCAGCAAAAGTTTCCACTTCTGCAGCACTATCACTCGTGTCTGCATCCCATAAGCCACCTTATCACTCAACCTCACTGAGCTCCCAGTAAAAAGACCTTTCTTCACCTGGGCTCTCATTCACTTCCTAGGAGTAAAGTTGTTTGTGGCTATTCCCACCAGGCCCAGCAACAGAGCTGGTGTTTAAGAAAATGCACAAGAGTCAGCCCAGATCCGGGTTCTGATGTCCAGCTGAACGATCAACCCCGTGCTGGCCGAACAGCTTCTGAAACTTGGAAAACAAGGTTGAGTAATCCCATGTAAGCCAACCCTCTTTTTCTCTGTTCCGGGGGCCTCTGTGAATTTTGAGGGGTGGATTTCATGTCCCTGACAAAGGAGGCTCTGAACTCTGTAGTAGATTTCATTTAAGACACAGACTAGGTTGGAGGATTTCATGAGGTTTTATTAACCTAATAATACTGTTAAACAAACACGACAACCATTATCCCTCACTTGCAGAGACAAATATGCACCCATATTCACTTCCTCTTACATTGACTCTGAGGTAGGAGGTATACTGACTAAAGAATAAAAAAAATACTCAACAGGCTGCACATGGCCCAGACCACATGTTCACAAGGCACTTAGTTGAAAGACAGCCGCTGGGGAGCAGGAGCAGAGGCTAGGCCAGCTGCACTAAGTCCCTGGAAGGGCTGACAGGGGTCACCAAAATTAGGCACCCCTGGTTTCCAGCATTTGAAATCCTACCCAGGATTGGTTGGAGCAGGTAGGGGATGAAGCTAGGTGGCAGCTGATCTTGTTCCAGGTTCCAAGGATAGAATGATATTCCTGGCACATAAAATGCTCTCAGTAAACATTTGTTGAATGAATGGAGTGAGGCAGGGGAGGAAGAATTCTAGAAAACACCCCCCTGGAGGTCCTGGGGTCCTTCTAGCCCAAGATAGGGGGGAACCAAGGGGTGGGACAGCGTTGAATGAATGGAGTGAGGCAGGGGAGGAAGAATTCTAGAAAACACCCCCTGGAGGTCCTGGGGTCCTTCTAGCCCAAGATAGGGGGGAACCAAGGGGTGGGACAGCACCTCCACCAATTGTTTTAGAGGTGGCCAGGGAGGTAAAAATACCAGCAATAGGAAACTTTGGGGCACCAGGTATACTGGTTGGGAGGAAAGAAAAAAGGAGGGTCTCTTCTTCCCTCCCAAAATGCCTTGTACATAATTGGGGCCCTTGACCCTCCAGGGCCCAGCCCTTCTCACCTTGTTCACACTGTGAACTACTTGAAGGCACGCCTGTTTTACTCAACTCTGGTCTCCAGTGCCTGGCCCAGGTCAGGCTTCCATCTCTTGTTGAGTGAATCAAGGCCTATAGCAGCATAATTAGCTTATCTTCTGCCTTTGAGGGAGAATTGACTAAAGGTCCATCTGTCCCCTGGCTAAGTCTGACCTTGCCTCAAAGGATCCCATTCACCTTTCCCTTCCCTGGCAAAACAGCCTCATCCCTAGCCTTGGGGTAAAAGTTCTGAGCCAACTGGACCACACGCCTGTTCTGTGGCAGCTGACACCCCTCTGGGGAAAGGAGACTCCGGACCCCATCCACCTGGTCAGGCTCCCTGCGGCGGCTAGGGTGCAGCCAGCGGTAGTAGACAAGCCGCAAAGCCAGACCCAAAAGGAAGCAGATGCCTCCCACCGACAGCCATATCTGTAATGGGATCCCACTGGGCAGCCAAGTGCTATGTGTCACCCCGGTGGCCACTAGGAGAACACTGTCACTCAGGAGGAATGCTAGGTGGATGGTGGCCCGGCCTCGGGTGTGGCCCTCAGCCACATTGAACCAGGAGAAATAGAGGATGGTAGCCACCGTCGCGCGGTACAGCCACTCAGAGCTGGGGTCTGGCATAAAGTCTGTGCCCTGAAGCCAGACCCAGAGCAGCAACACCAGCCACAGGCCCAGGAAGTGTAGGGCCACATAGTAGGGGAAGAGGGCTGAGAACAGGGCCACAGCCAGGACTCGGGGCCACAGCAGTAGCAGGTTCCACAGGAAGTAGACTGCAGAGGAGGCCAGGCCCAGGAGGGGCTTGGAGGGGAGGCAGGTGCGTAGGGCCCGGTGGTAGTCCAGCAGTGCCCATGAGATGCCCACAAAGGACGTGCAGACACCAACCCCTACAATGAATGAGAGGAAACAGGTAAGCCCTGTGGGTAGCCTGCCTGGCAACCCCCCCAGGGGTCACAGGTACCATGGGGGCCCTCACAGCAACATTGAGGTAGGTATTAGAAACCCCCATTTGGTGTTGACCCTTCATTCCACTTTTTTTTTTTTTAAAAGATGACCGGTAAGGGGATCTTAACCCTTGACTTGGTGTTGTCAGCACCACACTCTACCGAGTGAGCCACAGGCCGGCCCTCATTCCACTTGTTGTAGCTGGAGAACATTCAGTGAGTTCACACAACCAAAAGCAGAGGTGGCATTCAATATGGAGACTGCCCTTCACCACTATGGTTTACTGTTCAGGTGCTATTGTGGTGATATTTTTCAAGGACCCAGCATTTGGCACCCCTGGGCCTTAGCTGTACCCTGTGCACCTTCTAGGACCCCATAACCCTTCCTTTCCTGCAATAGCCAAGCCTTTCCTGGGTCTGAAAATCAGCACTCCCAGTTGCCCCTTTCTCAGTCTCAGAAAGGGAGGCAGGAAATCCCATGGGGTGGCAATAGGCCTCTGGCTGAAGCTGCCCTCAGGGCCAAGAGGGATGTCCCTGCTGCATTGGACAGAATGTCTCTTCACTCCACTCTCCCCCTCCATGCTCAGACCAGGATTTTCCAAGATCTGAAGGTTTGCAGTGGGGGTTGTATCCCATCTTTTGGTTGCCCACCCTGGACTAGAAGCACCAGGCCCTCTAGGGCAGGATGGAAGCAGCACTGGAATGTCTCTAGAATGCCTCCTCCCCTTCCACCACATTCATTCAACAGATGTTTACTGGGAACCTATCATGCTCCTGGAACACACCCCCAATCTGGAATCAGATCTGAGGCCATCACCCTTTCTAACTGTCCCACCCTCTAGGCCTCAGCAGGGCTGATGTTCTCCCAGTTTTCCCAGCATGCTGAATTCTCCAGCCTTGACAAGGTTTGCCCAGGCTGTTAGGTCAGCGAGGAGAACATGCCTCATTTCCCAGGGTCTAGTCCTCCTCATTCTGCAAGTCCCAGCCTGAGTATCCCCTACAGTCACCCATCCTGACCCACCCTACCCACTCTACTATGTGAGATGTCCCTGTAACACCCCACTCACATCTGCCTTGCAGTTTTATCTCCTAGCTCCACGGCTGAGCGGCCCAAGGCAAGTTCACCTTTCTGTACCACTTTTCTCTTGTTTAAAATGGAGATAAATATAGCACTAACCTATAGGGCTGCTGTGGACATGAGCAATGAAGACTATAAAGCATTTTCCACAGTGCTTGGCTAATAGGGACTCAATCGTGACGGCCGCTATTACCATGTTTTCAATTAATATTGCATTCAAACTAGCAAGCTGAAAGGGCCCTTGGAGATTGAGTCCAACTCCCACCTTTCGCAGTCATGGAAATTGAGACCAGAGAGGAGATTCCCTCAGGTCATACAGGGAGTGACTAGGGCTGAAAGGGCCCTTGGAGATTGAGTCCAACTCCCACCTTACGCAGTCATGGAAATTGAGACCAGAGAGGAGATTCCCTCAGGTCATACAGGGAGTGACTAGGTTCTTCAGGAGGCCATGGCATTTACAGCAGGGGGCCTTGAGGTATGGAGGCAAAGGGGATACTCTCCACCCTGAATCAGAGGCACAAAGGGGCCGCTGGCTGGGCCTGTGACCTTGGGCAAGTCACTTCCCTTTTACAGGCAAAACCCTTCTGAAGCTCCTCATTGTACAAACTCCTGTGGTTTATGGGGACCTGCCAGCCTCCGCCCTTTTCTGATCACTCAACACACTGTACTGTAAGTACTTGTTTTACAGTCTGTCATCCTGGCAGGGCAGGGGCTGTGTTCATCTTGTTCACTGCTGTGTCCCCAGCATAGTGACAGGCACAGAAGAGATGCTCAATAAAAATCTGGGTATGTAAAAGTGCCTGATAAATTGTTTATTGACTAACAAGTTGCCTATCATGTATCAGGCATCCTACACACTTTAACTCTCCTATCTTCAAAATAGTACAAATTACAATTAAGATTTATTATGCACCAGGCACTGGGCTTTCTATGCACCACCTCACTTAATCCTTTAATCAGTCCTAAGAGGTAGGAGCATTTATGACATTCGTTTTTCAACTGAGAACATATTGATACTCAGGTTGAGTCATTTGTCCAAACTCTTACAGCTAGAGAGTGACTCCAGATTTGAACCCAGATCTGCCTGACTAAAGCATGTTCTCCTATTTTCAAAGCAGCCTTTATAAAAGAGTGAAAGCATCTGACATTGGAGGGACACTTTCCCAAGCCATCAGAGGGGGACCAGCCACTGGCCCATCACTTACACTGGTAGTATTCAGCCTGGCCGCTCTGGAGAATGATGGCCAGCACCAGTGTGAGCTGCGGTGTTGTCTCCAAGAAGGTCTCAAAGAGCCGCAGCATGCTGATGTCTAGCGAGAGGAAGTCAGCGTAGGCCAAGTCAAACTCGGAGGGCGCCTCCTGCTGCCACACCAGCAGCCCCTGCTGCAGCCCCTGCACGCACCTAGGCAGCACATACAGGTGCCCAAAGGGCTGGGTTAGTGTGGATGCCGACAGGTTCAATCCTAGCTTGTCACTACACACTACGGGGCCTTGGGCAAGTGACTCAGCCTCATTGAACTTGTTTCCTCATCTTTATAATGGGTAAATATAACTTCTACACCTGCTGGCCAGGCACTCTCCCAGGCTCATCACAAACCTTGTCCTGTTTATTCCTCACAAGAGCCCCATTTTACAGAGGGCGAAACAGGATCAAAAAGTGAATAAGCTGTGGAATCAGTTTTGGTCCCAAAACTTCAAATTCGAAAGGCATGCTATAAAGTTGCCTAAAGCAATACTTCTCCATTGTTAGTAGGCCTAAGAATCTCTTAGGATCCTGTGGGCAAGGAGAGCCATTGAAAGCTTCTAAGCACAGGCAAGATGGGGTCAGATTCTGCTTTAGAAAGAGCACCCTGGCCATGGAGAGGAGGAAGGCTTGGAAGGGTTAGACTGGAAGAAGGGAGCCCATTTTGGAGGCTGCTGTTATGGTCCAGGGAGAAAGGCAAGAGCCTGGCCTGAGTGGTGGGATAGAGACTGGGGCAGAGTGAGAATCCAGAGGTTGGACAGACAGGCCTGGGCGATCCATTGGCGTGAGTCAGGAATGGAGGATGCACCAAGGTCCCCCACCTAGAACTGATCACAGTTGGCTATTGGGAGGTGAGCCCATTTTCTCTTTGCAAATTAATTAATTAGAGGTCTACTGTCACTTCCTGCTATGGGTCAGATGTGTCCCCCAATAGTTCATGTATCTGAAACTTGATCTCCATTGTAACAGTGTTAAGAGGGTGGGAAATCCCATTATGGTATTTGAAAGGTGGAGCCTTTCAGGGGTGAGTGGATTGTGAGGACAGTGCCCTCGTGAATGGATTAATCCATTCAAGAAGTAATGTGTTATCATGGGTGTGGTCCTGATGGCTTTATACAGAGGGCAAGTGAGAAAGTCAGCTCTCTTGCTCAGGCTATTCTGTCACCATGTGATATCCTCAGTTGCTGTAGAGTCACCACCCAGAAGACCCTCACCAGATGTGTTCCCTGGACTTTGGACTTCCTAGCCTACAAGACTGTAAGAAAATGGCCTGGACAGAGTGGACAATACGCTAAGGAGCAGGCAGGGCCAGGCTGGGCTCTCTCTCTGCCTCTGGTCCCCCAATGCCCTGGTACAGGCAGTCACAAGAACAGAGACACTGTTTTAAAAACTGAAGCTCAGTACAGTTTGTCTGACTCAAGCTCAACACAAATAGGAGACAGGAAGATGTGTGAGGCAGTCATGGAAGCAGGGCTCATCAGGGCCTGCCAGCACTGTTATCACCATGCCCCTTCATGTCCACCCAGGGATTTATTGCTGTTTGTACAGTCCCTTGGACAAAACTGCAACATTCAAAGCTCCTCTGCTCCACTCCTGGAGACTCCACACAGCTTGGTCAAGGCAAGATCTGGAGAGAATTTGTAAAAATGGATTCAAGAGCAGATCCTGGTTCCAGCCACCCCATCCAAACCCAGACCACACCATGTCCTGACTTGATCCCATGACTGACCCATGGGTTTCAGTTTCTGCATCTATACAGGACTCTGCCAGTTCTGAAGAGGAGCACTATGAATCCACACATATTTTCCGAGATCCATCCTGTGCCCAGCCCTGGCTGGCTCCAGGGACATTAATAGTCAGACCCCATCTCCGCCCTCTTGCTCAGTCTGGGGGTGGGAAACAAAACTTCAGGGAGCAGAATACACCTGGGAAAGGGTGAGAGGTGCCCGTTGTGAGGGAACAAGCACTGCTCTGGGGTCGGGGCTGCTGAAACTCCCAGGGTGGCCCAGGCAATCCATGAAGCTAGCTGACATTTGTTGAATGCTTAGTCTGTGCCAGGGCAATTTACAGGTGTCATTTCATTTAATCTTTGCAAAAGAGAAGCAGGCATTACTACCATCCCTACAGGAACCATGAGTAAACTGAGAGCTGGAGAGTTCAGTGACTTGCCCAAGACCCTGCTTATGGCTAAAAGGAACAGGTGATGTTGAACTGACTCCTCCCGTCCCTGTCATTACGAGAGAGTCCAAGCACTGTGCTAGACAGTTTCTCACTCCTCACAACAGGCCTGCCTGCCAGACCCGTCTCTAGATGATCTCTAGGCGCTATCTCACCTCTTTTTTATAGAGGGGGAAACTGAGGCTCAGAGAAACGCAGAAATGAGGTCACAAGTGGCAAAGACAGAAATGGATCCCAGAGAAGTCTGACTCCAAAGCCCAAGCGCCTCTCTTTCTTCCCTGGGCCTGTTTCTTCACCTGTGCCAGGAAGAGTAGGGGTGGAGGAGCTCTGAGGGCTGTCGGTGGCAGTTCTCTTTCCTTAAAAGGCTGGACGCTCGCCTGTAGGTGAGTTGCCCAAGAGGCTTTGGGTCCCAGTCCTCTCCTCCCATCCATTTCCCCTGTCAGGCGTCTGGCGCAGCCGCCGGCCTCCTCTCCCCCTCCCTCTCCCCGAGGGCGGGGCGCTCACCTGTACAGGTAGCCCAGCTGCAGAAGATGCAGCAGCGCCAGGCAGCGGCCGGGGGCCTGGGGCGCGTGCAGGTCGGCGGGGTCGGCGCTCAGCCAGACCCAGCTGAAGAGCTGCAGCGCGACCGAGGCGAGGCCCAACAGCGCCAGCACCAGCACGGCCCACAGGTAGCGGCCGCTGAGCACATACTGGCCGGCGGCCCACAGGTCGGTGCCCAGGTCGAGCAGGAAGGCGGCGGTGCCCAAGACGCCCAGGACCAGGTCCCGAAGGAGGGCGGCGCGGGGCGACCAGGGCATGTCCCGCCTGCCTCTACCCCCTCCTTCTCGCGGCTCGGGCCCG